AAACGTCTGCAATTATTAGACTGGACAAAATAAAAATTAAATTGTAACTTATATTCAAGCCCCCCCTATTGAAAAATCCTGCGGACGCCACTGGCCTAAGACCTAGGACCTATAGGTAGTATAGAATCTCCGTAATCTATGTACCTCGACGAGGCAGGCGCATCAATGCATCTTGATTCACGAGCGACATTCGTTTAAAACATTTCATACGCTCCAACGGATACCATAATGGTGTACCTACAGTAAGTATTTAGATGTTTTACTGAAACGTCTGAAACTGAAATGAAATAATATTTTTTCGTTATTGGTGAGATTATTGTTATATATAGGTGTATTTAATTATAGGTAGGTATTACAAAGATGTACATATTGATTTTTTGTTTGATAATTATAATTATAAAAAAATATATAATATAATAAATATTAGAAATAATTATTTATTTTTATTTTCGAGCTGCACATGATACTTAAAAAATGTTTGAAGAAGTAAGCGTTTTGAGACCTCAAATTTAAATAATAAAGCTTATGAAAAAATAGAACCAAGGATCAGCCCCTCCAAATAAGTTTATGAAGCTCCACTCTCCACTCATGGACTCAAAACGTATTCGTATTTTCCTTAAGCATGATATAACTGTATCAAGGGGGAGTGTTCTTCTGATAAATGGATTTGGTTAGGTTAGGTACTATATGTATAACTATATAACATATTTTGGTTGAAATTTGTACCTAATGAATAATATTTAATAGGTAGGTATCGTAATATCAGTGTACTATGTAGGTACAGTGTTAATAGCTGAATATCTTGGATTCGCTCTTGTGCAGTTTATAGTTTTGTGGAAAATCTTATATAGTATATATATACGCTAAATAGGTGTATCTCGGTTGGAGTGTATCTCAGTATTAGTGTATCTCGGTTTGAGTGTCTATAGTATCTATAGTCTTCAGTATTAGTGTACTTAGCTTTGTAAAATAATTTGACCTAGATGGGTAACGGCAAGTCACGGATTGGGTATAACACATTTTTTTAATGTGGTTTAAACTACTTACTCTCTAAACTTTTTTGACATCTCTAAAAACAATCTCAGAGATTTTGGCCAAATTCAATTGAGTAGTTTTTGAGTATATAAGCTACACACTACACACATACATTTTGTATTAAGATATATTTTCTTCATTCCAGACCATAAGCGCGACAAGCTGATACATGCTTTTATCTGATCTGCCGGAGACTCGAGTAACCAATGGCAACCATTAACACACAAAAACCAATTTCAATTTCCACCGAAAATCTCAAGATCCCTGTTTGATCACCTCTTTAAAATGTGAGTATAGGAATTGGAAAATTCTTTCTTATTGCACATCTATAGAGCATTAGAGGAACCACTATTTCAAATTTAAAGTTCCAATACGTTCTGTAGTTTTTGAGATTTAGTGATGAATGAGTGAGTAATAGTGAGTGATTGAATGGTATTTGGCTTATATATATTATTCTTATTAATATAATATACTCACGAGTTAATTTAAACTTGAAAACGTAAAATTAATTTTTGAAAATATAATATTGTTATAAATGTACCTATCCCTTTATAATTTATTTCATAAACGTGCGTCGGGCCTTGCAGATAGCGTATAATACACATTTGCCTAATAATTATACTGAACTGTTTTTTTTATGTAAAATTGTATTGTGAATAGAGTAAAGACCTGACAATTTGCAAATTTATTGATAAACTGTTACCTATTCGTTTGTGCGTGATATTTTTCGTAGCACGTACATACCTTTTTGAAATTACGAATACGCAATTAGCCTATGTGCGGTATGTATATAAATTTAATTATACAAATTTAGTCGTATTTGCAAGTACATTTAGTCGGCACAGCGTGTAAACAGCTACGCAGTTAATTGGGTCGCAGTTTCGGATGAATCGGCGTTCAAACTGTTTTGTTTATCTTCCGATCGTTATCCAAACGAATTCCACTTTTGTACAATATTATTATAATTTCGAAGTTTAAATAATTTAATGAACCTGCTGATTGAATTATGACAATACAGAAATCAATATTGGTTAACACGATTACATGAAGTATATATTTTGTATAATATAATATAATATACGTACCGACCTACCACCTACCTAATACTTCGTAGTTTGTATAATAAAATAAAATGTATTATACTTTATAACTATATACAATATAATTATTACTTATTTAGTATAACCATTGATTATAATTTATAAGTAAATTAATAATTGAATAATATTATATTGTTTTTTTATAAATCAATGATGTAACATTTTTGTCATTCAAATCTTAAAATGCAAAGCAATTCAAGATACCAATAGTACCAATATATATACCAGCTATTTTAAATATTATAATATTATGATAAATATTTTTTTATCCAAATATTTCATTATTTTAAATATAATATTTTGGCATTTTGCAAACCACTAAAATAAAATATATACTATATACTAATATAGTAATATACTTATAATCATTTTTACATATTAATATATTATTATATTCTCATCTAGTCAACAATATTTCTATTACATTCTGTGTAATGGAAAAAAAAGTATATAATACAAGCTGATCCCATGCACTTCGTTGCCCGTTAAATTTACCTACCAACATTATATGACTCAAACTTTGTTCCATTCGTTATTTAATATTCGGTGTATGGTGTTCAAAATTTTTCTTATATTTTTCGTTTCCCGGAATTAAAATTCTGAATCACAGCAGTACATTATCAGGTAGGCAATCTACTTGCGGTAGATCGCGGACCTCGTGCTGTTTGTACGTAAGTGTATGATTTAACTCTTAAGTATCAAAGTTATACCAAGTTTGTCGTTTTTACTTAATTCCACCTACGATTGATTAAAATATAAAATTTATTTAATCCCATTAAATATAATTTATATTTAAAAAATAAAGCAAATATTTATTATTATTATTATAATAGCTTAAAAACCCATTTATAAACAAAAATTTCCATCTGAAATCTCAAAATTCCCGTTTGAACACCCCCCGGGGTTGGTCCTCTCCCTTTTTAAATTAGCCTATGTTATAAGTTGGACCAAAATACACACAGTGTAAAAATTTCATCAAGATCGGTCCAGTAGTTTTTACGTGAAAGAGTAACAAAGTCACAAACTTTCACGTTTATAATATTAATCGGATTATATACCTATAGGCTATAATAGTCGCTATACCTATAAACAGCTATAAAATATTCAGTTAAAAATTCAATGATGTTATGTATGCTGTGATACTAGAGTCGGTATAGTATACACGCTATACAGATTTAGTGACATGGGTGTAACAGAAAGACTTGACAATTAAAAAAAAAAATTGATACTCTCTAGTTACAGGTACCTTATATGACATAAATTATAAAAATTATATGGACTGTAAATAGTGTAAGAAATATAGGTACTTGTTTCAGGAAATCGTTCTAATCGTCTCTTTACTGAAGACTAAAAAAAAAACGGAACAGCGAAGCTATCTGGAAATTCACATCGAGATGTTTGCACCAACCTATCAATTGACATAGTTCATTATTCTGGTGCGGGAAGCCGGGAAAACATAAGTATACGCACATCTCGATGATGGAAATAAGAATATTATATTAAAATAATATCAATATATATACGTAGTGTGCGTTGTCCTGCGAAGGGGTAGTTGTGCCAGGGGGTGGGGGTGAGGTATTTCACGCACAAATTTATTGTTTCAGTGGCAATCGTCGAAATGGCAATGTCGAAATCTAACAATTCTATTCGGCGGACGTACATCAATCACCGGGCGCCGCCGCCGCGTCGTATACATATTATTGCACAGCGCTGGCGCGTAAACCTCGCGGGACTGTCCGGATGCGGTCGGTTGCTTTGTCGCGCGCACACACCGGATATAAAATAATATATACATATCGTTAGGCCGACGACTTTACTTGTCCGCATATAACGCTAGCCGCAATAATATATCGTTGTAAACGTGCGTGTAAGTCTCGTGTACGCATGTATGTATAATGTATATTACTGTTTGTACAATATAAAGCTCCGTAGTCGTCGGTGGCGGTGTAAAAACGTGCGTGTGCGGTGTGTGATGTGCGTGTGCGTGCGGCGCCGGTATCCGGTGTAAAAAGAGCGAGAGTGACAAATTCGTTTCGCCCCGACACGGTCGGCCCGGCGCGGCGTCGGTGGTGGCGTTACCGGCACATATATGAGAGCGGGCTGAGGAGGCGGCGGCGGCGGCGGTGGGCCCGCGATCATTTGTCGATAATGAATTGGGCCCTCCGATCCGCATCGCACTTAATAAATAAACCGCCGGCGCGGGCGCCGCCCATACGCCCAATGGCCGTCCGTTAAACCGTACTGCCCCCCGACGGGGGAAAAGACCCAACCACCCCCTGCTCGATCGTCACCCCGGCAACCGCGAACGGTTAGGGGACGGACGTTTGGCGCGTCGCACGCACATTATATAACATATAATATATATATATATATTATTCCAACATTTGTATACATACAATATGCATATATGTAATATGTATATATTTAAATGGGGAATCTCTGTCTCTGTACATGTATTTTATACTTTATATGTACATAAAACGCGTCGATATATAAAATATATGTATAGGTACATACCGCTGAGGGGAAGCTCGCGCGCGCGCGCGCGCGCGCGCACACACACACATGCACACATAAACATTATATTCCGATTGAGTGTCGATAACGGTGATGAGGGTGCCCAGGGTGGAAATAGTGCGCGCAATCGCCGTGTAATCGAGTGATAACGCGTTACCGCGGCAGCCGGCGTCGTGTGGACCAGTTGAAGAGATTCGCGTTGTCGTCGCCCGCTCTATGCTGCTGCACGCCGCGGCCGCGCCGTTCCCTAGCTCAGCACCGACCGTATAATATTAGACCGTTGTCGCCGTCGCGCACTGCGCCACAACGCACCGTCGCCGAACTATCTGCTGCCCGGGGCCTCCGCCGATGGACTCGCGAGCGTCTTCGCTGTCGCCGGTGATCGACCCGGACGACTCGAGATCGCCTCCCGTATCACCTGCACCGCCTGCGCCGATGACGCTCCTGCAGCCTCGCCAGACCGCCGTCGGACTGATGCACGCTCACGGAAACCACAACAATAACAACAACAACAACAACAACGACGTCGACGACGACGAAATTGACGACGACGACGACGACGACATTGACGACGACGACCGGCGATCGTCCGGTGCGACAGCCAAATCGCCACATGCACGCGCGCCGCCCTCGCCGTCTGACCATCACCGGGCGCTGATCGCCGGGATCACTGCCGCCGCAGCCGCAGCCGCAGCCGTCGCAGGTACGTGCCACCGCTGTCGAGTTTAATTGTAATAAATCATGCGGCGTAGGTAATGTTATCGCAATGGACAATATACGTTTTTCGATGTATTGTAATAATAATAATGAAAAAATATAATAACATTATAATATAATATTAGTTATTACTAAAACGCCTACGTGATTTTTGCTCAAAATCTGTCCGCTGAAATTCGGTATCTTGTATCGTATTATTATATATAATAGTTGGAGATTGACGCTCTACCGCACCTATAGTGATTTCGGTCGTGTCGGTAGATTTTCTATAAATCGTAATAATTGTATACATGGACTCTACGGACAAATACGTGAGACACCACCTAGGACTTGGAACTCTACAAAATTAAAAAAAAACTGCAGATGACCGATCATAAAGAAATTAACTGATGACAGAGAGAGAGAGAGAGAGAGTGAAGTCCGAGAGCCAAGATTGTTAGAAAAAGATAGCATACAACTCAAGACCAAAATATATAGCCTTTACGAATAGTGAGAGAGGAAGGAAAGACAAAGATTTTTTAGAAAAATATGGCATAAACCGAACATATTCTATGTACATTATACGATATGTCCCATGAGGAAGTGACCGGCTGGTGTCATACATGATAGTATACCTTTAAGTTATGAAAAAAGAACTCCTTTAAGGGAGAGATGTTATACATTTTTTTTATTTTTTTAGTTTAGTGTAGTGTTTCTTTTTTTTTTACTCAAATCGAACCACACACGCAGTCAAACCAGAAATGTACGAACTATTTTTATAAAATTTTAAAAAATAATTAGCATTTTTGAAAAGAAATCTAAACTAGTATATATAATTTATACTAAATCAGTCACTCACACTAATGATCACTTACTACACACACATTTACGCATTCACACAAATAGAAAATGTACTATATTGAACTCCTTAGAAACGGTTGGTATATGCATACCCCTTAATTATTTTTGTCAATCCCTGGCCCCTGTATACGGCTATAGTGTTGTAGTATGTTGTCCCTATATTTTAAATTCACAGTTTCGCCAATAATAAAAGAAATCTATGTTTAATATGATTTTATATTTTGAGAGGTGCAATGAATATATAGATTTAAAATGATGTGTGTGTGTGTGTTTTTTATGTGTACATGTGTAAATCGTACACAACTTATAGCAGGAAAAGTGCTTCGAATTTCAACATCAAAATCTTTTCTGTTAGATAAGAGAATCCAGTTGGTAATTATTTGGGGGGTCAAAGTTTAAAATTTTTAGAACCCACTTTTTAAAATAATTGAAAAATTTACTTGAAATATTCACCAAATTACAATATTTTAATTTTCTATACATAGTATAATTTTCAAAATAATTTGACCTTTTGAAATATTTATAGACATTTTACATTCATTTTAGATTCTGAGTGGAAAGATGAATGTATTGATTTTACAATGACGTGTGTTTTTTTTTTTTTTTTGTGTCTGTCATCACCTTTTAGGACAGTAAAAGTGCTTGGATTTTCTTCAACAGTATCTTTTCTGATAGGAAAGTGAATCTAGTTGGTACTTTGGGGGAAGGGGGTCAAAAGTAAAATTTTTTAAGTAGTTTTCAAAAGCGCCGTGAAAACAAAAGAAAAATTAAGGGATAACGGGAATTTTTAGACAAAATCTGTTTTCGAAAAAATCAATTTTGGTTTTTGGTGTAACTTTAAAATAAATTACCGTAGATGTATGAAATTCTCACTGGTTGCTTATATTTAAATTTTCCTTACACGATGAAATTTTCAAAATATTATGATTTGTTTTGAACTGTTTAGGAACATTTTAATTTTCCATTTTTTTCTTAGTTTTTTTTTCTATAAATATAAATTTTTATTTCTTGGTTTAAAAATCTTGAAAATTTATTAGAAGGCTCCTATAGTATATTGTTTCAAAGGCAGATAAAAAATATTAGAAATCCTTAGTCACAGTTTATTTTTATAAGCATTTAAAGTTCAAAAATTGACAAAATATGGTCAAATCATGAAAATTAGCAAATTATTTTGAATTAAGAATTCGTAAAAATTTTTCTTTTTAAATCTAAGATTTTAAAATGTAATACAAGATTCCTTATAAGATTATTTACCTTTATCAAAAAAAATAAATGTCTATAAGAACTCAAATTAAATTTTTATGAGCGTTTAAAATTAAAATTTTTACAACATTGGATATTCACTCGATTTCTCTTGTAGCGATTTCCTTATAGAGTGACACACTTTTTTTGTTAATTTTTTTATAAATATTGCCTAATAATACAACGAAGTTATTCACACCATTCTGCGATAGGGCGGTATCGACTCAAAAGTTAACAACAATGATATAAGATATAAATAATATTTATCTATTATTATTATAATAATTAAAGATAATATAATGTATACAATGTTTACCTTAGAACATTTTTTAAATAAATATTACTGTAAGGTAATATACGCGTATCATCAAATATACAATTAGTAATATAGGCTGACAGACCGTCACTACCAAGGTAGACAATGTATGTTATTGTATAGGTACATACAGTCAATAGATGCACTAAAACTAATTTAAAAAAAATACAAAAGTATCAAGATATAATTAAATTAATTTTGAGTATAGATTATAGAATAAGAATAAATAAAAAAAATATTGTATGATAAATAAAATTCTACAATGTAATAAACAGGATCCATATATAATTATATAAATTACTGTTATTAGGTAACTTAAATGTTCGTTTTCCATTATTTATGCGATGATAGCCGTTTATAAATTATACGTGAGACATAAAATCATAATATACATTATACAATATAGGTACAATAGGTACATATTATAATATAATATCACCATATATTTATCAAATAGGTATTTAAATATTTACACCGAATTATAATATATTTGTGTTTGGAAATAGTGGAAATGAGATGGTTCAGTTGTATACTTAGCCCTTTATATAGGTAATGTGAATATTTACAAAACACAAAACAATCATATTCATCATACCTATCTAAATCTTAGCATTGAATAATTTACTACTAAACAACATAATCGTAAGATTTTATGACTCACCGTTACTGTAGCTTTTACACGATATCAAGAGGGTCGAATAACCTACGTATTATATTGTATAATGTACATACAATATACAGTTGCCTACTATTCCAGCATTGTGTTATTTCATGTTACAAGTTTGCGCGTGTGGTTGTATAGTCTATAATATCATAATTTTTCATAATTTATGTTGTAAATATTGCAAGCCAATATAGCTAAGCAGTTGAGAATCAAAAAAAAAGTGTTATATTTTTTTAACCATCAATAATAATATTTAACCAACAATTTAAAAAAGTTAAGATAAACCTATATATAGACGAATAGAGTAAAGAGTAGTATGAAGGTTATTTCTTTTAAATCCTGATTATTGTTTTGGCTGTACAACTTAAAAATTGGCATAATACAACTAAGAAAACTTTGTCTGTTTTTCTATGTACGTAGCCTTCTCAAATCATTCTCGAGCAAAGGTGTATTTCTATTATTATGATCTGGTCATTACCTAACAATCATAAATGTTACCGATACTGGACCGCTTGTTAATAATTACCTTCACAAGTATTTAAATATATTTATAATTTTTAATTATAAATTTTCCCAAAATTGTATAATAATTGCCTATATCGATGGCCCTTAAAAATCGATCGTGTAGCGTCCTTTTTATAGAGGATTATTGAACTTTCCAAGTTTATTGTTATATTAATATAGGCATCTCTCACGGTGTCCCAGTGTGTCTTACGTATATAAATATATCATTAATTAGAAACGTACACCCCAGTATCAACTTATGGAAATCTCCTCCAGATAATATAGGTACTTACCCGAAATGCCATTGATGTGTAGGTAAATAATAATAAGACGAATTATGTATAGGACGTGACGTGCACATAATGAAAATCGTTATAATCATTATACTAAATTACTAACCGTGTTATGATTAGAGTCGTTTACCAGCTTAAGTATATTATATATAATGGTATTCCATACAATTTAATGTAGTTATTTAATTTAAGTTTTACGCTTATAATACGAAATGCAGTAGGTATACTATATAAACATATATATAACGTAGCCTAGGGGCCAGGGGTGGCAAATTATTTTGATACTACGTGGCAAAAATTACCTTATTATTTATTTATTTTCGAGCTTGTCATTAAAATATTATACCTATATATATAATATATATTATTTATAATATTATTGTGCTTTCAGTATATGTTATCTACGTTCCTAATGAGATCTAATAATCTAATCTTTTCTGAAAGACTCCATCGATACTGAAAAAGTACTAACATTATACCCAGACAGCATTTTGTAATTATATTTAATAACGTTATCGGTTATACCAGTAGCGGATCCAGAAGTCACCCGAGGGGGGGGGGGTGAACACTGAACGCCCCTTTGCCCCCCTCGTATCCACCACTAGGTTATAATAATATTATTCGGGATTATAATGTTATAATAATATTTTTAAACAAAAAAATTTCTGACTGGGATGATGATATTGACTATTAAAAATAAAAATATATTTTAATATACATATATTATAATAAATATACATATAATATAATATTTTAATTTTTGGGTGCCCTCAAAATGTTTTCGCGTGCCATGGATTTGCCATCCCTGGGCTATAAGTACCTAAATAGTGAAGTTCCACATATTTAATTCATCGGATTTTGTATATTGTACATAATAAGTATGTCGAAAAAACGAAAACGTTAATATTTTATATAGACCAAAACAACTATATTGTTTACAGAAAATTACCTCGAGCGTGTTACAGTAAAACATAAAACTATATTAAATAGTTTGCTTAAACAAATACATTTAAAATATTATTATATTTCTGCAGTTATATATTTTATAGTTATCAACACATCTATATATGATATAGATATATAATATATTTTTTTTTTTTTTTATTGGATAACCCGCGGCAACATAG